TCAGCCAGATCAAGTCACGGTCGCACTGGCCTCTGGCTGGGGATGGCCTCCGCTACCAGTGCTGCCGGGGCCCTGCGGCTGCAAGCGCGGGCACTTTATAAAAGCTGCTTCGCCACAAATGCTATCTGTATCAATGCACCTACTCATTCCACGTCTTATTCTACACCCTGTCAATTTGCCTGGTACATCCGGTGACAGCCACCTCCTAGAGCAGCTCCAAGTCTGCCATCAGCCCAGAGAGCTGCCTTCCAACCTCCTGGTGTCAACAGTTTTAATAATGTTGCTGCCAAATCTCCTTTCCCCTATCTCACCCTTGAGTCACCGTAAAGCCCCATGGATTTGTCCTATAATCTTTTTTAACAAATCTCCCACAAAGTATCAGCCCCAAGCTCCTCCTTATCTCTGCTGTCCAGTCTCCACCAGCAGCCACACGCCAGGTGTATCAGAGGAGGGCAGTCCACCTGAACACGTCTCCAGCCCCACACTTCACAGGCCTAGCGGTGCCCTTCATCTGAAAATGCCCCCAGTCTCCATGAGATGGTACCTGGCTTTTGTTTCACAGCTTGTCATACAGCTGAGCTGGCTGGCGCTGAGGTTCTGTGTCCCGTGGCACTTGGAGAAAAATCTGCAGTTAGCCCTGGAAATACTGCTCACGGCTAGGCCAAATAAAGGATACAAATGGGGACCCTGCCAAGCACTGGATTCCGTGCATGCCTTGTAGAGGTGAGCAGGATTATGGCCCAAGTCACTGGCATCATCCCAGCTGCCGGCAGGAAGTGATAAGGGCACTTAGAACCACCCAATTCACCCACTGACTGGCCCAAATGCCTGATTTCAGGCTGAGGAAGCCTGATGGGCACCAGATCAGACAAACCTAGACGCCAGGATCTGTGCTACCTGCTTACCAACTGTCTTTCTTAAGGGTGCGCAAGCTGCTCAGGAAGGGATCCACCGGCACCACCAAGCTTCCCTACAAGTCCACGTTGGCTTTGCACTCTGAGATATAGATGAGCCATGTAATTTTTATCCCATCTGGCTGCTGTCAGATGTAGCTTTGTGGGAACCAGAAGCTCGTCCAAGGTGGGTGCTACAGTCCCCTTAGAATGCACTCAGCCTGTCTACACCAGGCAAGACATTAACCCAGCTTCTCAGCACATTTGTTTTCAGCGTAAGTATCAGTGATGCTTCTTTTTTAGCGGTCTACCATGACACACTGCAGTAATGAATGCTGCAAGTAATGTACCTTGCAGCACTGTTCACAAGACACCAAGTATTGCTAATTCCAACTACACCTAAGCTCCTCTTCAAAACAGCTCTCAAGGTAATGGCTCAGCATGCTTGAAGCACGTCTGCTCAGGTCACAAGCTCCTCTTGCCCTAGCCAAGTTCTAACCTCACAGAGCAGGACAATTCTCCTGTTCAAGACTTCCAGTCTGAACATATCAGCAATGAACAGGAGAACACAAAAGGAAGCTTTCAGGCATTACGAAGGTTTAAAGTGAGGGGTTTTTTCATTGCATGATTCTTCTTCACTTTTCTTGTCTAACACAATCAGCCCACGAGAATCTAGGCTCTCAAAGGTTTTCCTGATGTGCACCAACTGTGAGAACAAAGGATGAGTGTAGTGAAAACACAGACAAAAGAGCTTTGCAACAGAAGTCTCCCTGAATGGGGAAAAGAGTAGTCCAGGAGTGGAAACCTTGGAGATAGCTTGCCATTTTGGGATGGCAAAGAGGGTTCTCACGTTTCTCTGATGAAACAGAGTTCCTCAAAATAACCCGGGGTGAACACACTGGGAGATGAAAACAGGCAAACTTAAACTTTGTAAACTTAACAAAATACAGCTGAGATGGAATAAACAGAAGAGAGGTGGTTTGAAAGTGCTTATTGTTTATAGCCTTGGGAAAGTAAGAGATCTGCTTTGGTTTTTTTCATTATTAGAGTGTCATCTGTTTTCCTTAGATAATGAATGCTCATTTTCCAGTTTATAAAACTCACAATGATCCGCAAAACACGTCTAACAATGTTGCATTCCCTTTTTCTGGCTGGAAAGTTATCTTGGGTGGGGTCCCAGGAATTACGCGCTCCATCTCCACGTCACAAGGGAGGATCAGCTGGGCTTCTGCAGATACATCCTACCTGGTTTTAGCATTTATAATGAAACCATAGTTCCAGTGAATTTCCAGGCTTTCCCCCTCTCTTTAGAAAGATTGCCTAACACCTAACCTAAACCTACCTTTCTGCAATTCAAGCCCTTCCTACATACAAAACCAGGTTCTTTATCAGTGAAAACTTTTGAAAGTGTTCCCCTCCTTAGCCTTCTCCTATCCAGACTAACTACAAATCTTTCTATTTAAGCCAGGTTTTCCAGGCTTTCATTGTTCTTGCTTCCATCTGGATTCTCTTCATCCACATCCTTCTTGTAGGACAGTGCTCAGAACTGCATGCAGGATTCCCGTGGAGGCCTTTCTAATAGCCGTCAGAATGGAAAGATCACGTGGAACAGTAACTCCACCGCCTGCTCAATTCAGATACATGCCATGGAACCACCCTTGGTGAGGTGTCACGCATTCATGAAAGCAGATAAAGCATTCACAACAAACCCCAAACACAGACTGCTGAAAAACTGAAGTTAAAAACCACACAGCATTGTGTGAATTAGCAACTTACTTACACAGAGCAGGCAGGCCTAATGCCTCCTAAGGACAGCAGACTTAACTGCGAACTACTAATTATGCTAACTACTTCATGGATCAGGAACTTAAACAAACTCAAAGAGTTCAAGATGGCGTACAGCCAACACCTGCATGTTTTTCAAAGCCAGAGCACAAAATGTACTCAGATAGCACTAGCAGGTAGTTAGCAAATGTGTCAGAGAATCTTACATGCTGGTCAGTGGGATAAAAAAGTAACACTAAAAGCAGGTGTAAAATCATAGCTCTGCAACTGAAATCACAGACAGCTAAGGTGACTAAGGTAAGTAACGAACAGCAGAGTACCTGTAGCATAATGGACTAGTAATGGAGCTACTTAAGACAGGGGTGGTACTGCATAGTGGATATGAAGACGGGGAGACATCTCAATGCAGCCTCTGGATACAGCGTATGACCTGAACACGCCATTGTGTTAACAATGTTGGGTTGTGTGTATGCTCAATGCATGCATAAAATGGCTCACCACATGGAGAGTGGTGCTGGTGGGTTTGCTGATCAGTTAGACTGCGCTGTTTTACCAACATACAAAGCAGCCTATGTGAACTCCAGTATTGAGCTGTGCAAATGCATGAGACTTATGAATATTGTCCTTGCTTCTGATCTGGGCTTTTTAGACTCTGGAGCATCCACCGACAACGAAGGAGAGGGTGAGGCATACTCCAGAAGGAGCAGAAAACAAGCTCAAAAAGCATCTTGAGTCTCTTGAACATCTGCCAGGCTCTTTCCCCTAATACTACAATTGTAGAGTTCCAAAGCCTGCTCCATCAATTCAAGGTGCAAATCAACTACCAGCCAACAGCAGATCCCCAAGCCTCAAAGGATGCAAACACAGCATGGGCATTTCTCACACAACCAGACAAACTTCAAAACAGTTTCAGCAAAACACCCTATGCCATTACAATTATCAACTAACAAGCCATCAAACTTTGCAAGATCGCAGATGAAAGTGACATATGCTCTTAGACACATAGGAAAACTCTCACTCTCTTCAGGAGTTCAGGGAAGGGCTTCTCTCATCCTAATGTGAGAGGAGTCCTAAAGAGGACTCCTTTCTGTTTAGCTCAGACCTTCTCCAGAACTACATGAGGACTAGACTAAGAGGACGCAAATATAAGTCTTACATGCTTAAACAGCTTGTTTACTCAGAATATTTGCATGCATTTTCTTTCTCCCATCCTAATGTTACATATGCACTGCACCTTTCAAGTCATGGTTCCCTTTCTGTCCAGCCTCCTTTACCCACACAGACAGCATGCTGGCAGAATTTCTTAGCTCAGCTCGTGTATTACTGGAAAGATTATATAGCCATGCACAGCAGAAAAATTCCTCTGCTGGCATTCACCATGTAAAGCTTTAATACTGTGTTTAACAATCTTAAGGGAAAATGGCAAGCAAACTCAAATCTAGGCAGCAGACTATGAAATACAATCATGTCTGACCTCCTCTAAATATTTCTAAGGCCAAAAATAAAGTAGGCTCTAAAGTAGGCCAAAAATACTGTGTTCAGAGGACTTTAAGCACTGATCCACGTGCTTATAGGACATTGCTTGCTCCTGTCTCCAGGGAGCGGCAGTCCTTGAAAGTTTCTCAGAAGCACACATGAAAACGAGCTATCAAAAAATTGAAAGGAATGCCTTGAACTCAGCAACTGGTCAGGGCGGTGGGATGAGGAGGGGAGGGGAGAATTCAGAAAAGAGGTATTGTTGCTAAAGAACAGCAAGCAGACTAGTAAGCACACAAAGTCTTACCCTTCTGTGAAAGTTAAGCCCCACAATGCAACCTCCCACACAAGGCATTTTCAACTCTTCAACTCTTATGAAGTTAAGGAAGGGGGAAAAACCCTCCAATAATGCATGTCTCTGACACTAAATTCAGAAGTATTGAGGACTGCTTCCATGTTTTCCAAGTAATAAAAATGCTAGTTAAAGAAAAAGGGAGGAGTACCCAGTAATGGCTCTGAGTAATAGCTATGACACAAAAAGCCCCCCAAAATTAGGGAAATATCACAAGAACAGAAGTTAACATTGTTTTATTGATAAATAACTTTTTTAATATTTTCACTCAAACATTCTAGCATTACAATGGTAAACAAAGTGCAAATTTTCAGAAAGTCAACTGAAGTCAACAGAACCCAAACTTGTTAAACAAACCCTTTTCACAGAACACAGTTTTTTCAATTTTATCCCCTTCATGTCTTCAAGGCCATGTAGTAGTTATATTTCTCTTCAAAGACTGTTACTTATTTTATTGCTAAAGAATCTGAGCTGCTACATTTCAGAAGTGGTGATTAATCATCCTTTGAAAATTCCACAAGACTTTGGGACACAAAATCATGAATCCATATATCAGTATCTGGAAGAGATGTGTCCACGAGAAAAGTCACTATTTTTCGATCCCAAGAGTTAGTGCTTTCATTAACTGCCTGTATCTGTGCCACCAAGGGTTTCTTCTCGACAAGATTCCGAAACACTATTGATGCCTCTTCTGACCACTGCTGGCTTTTTACTCCTAGGACAAATGTAAAGCAAAACAGAAGGTCATTTATATTCTAGACCAATCTGAATGATTAAGTTTATAAAGAAGTGAGAGGAGTTTAAATAGTTGAGAAAACATGTTCAACTGAATGCGGCTTAACTCTAGAAAAGAAACAGAAGCTCACTCATCTCCCACACAAACAAGCTTAATTATTACAGAGACTAGGACATTTATTTTTTCTTGAAGGCTAAAGATATGGACAAGTTTGCAGAAGTGAAATGCAAGTGCACTGACTCACTGAGTAATTCAAAGTGTATCAGCTGCCATGCATGATCAAGGCGTATTAGGAAACATGACAAAGAGGAAACTAAAGAGCCTTTCAAAACAAACTATTTCTTTGCCTTCTGCCTGATGTTGCTGAAATTATTTGTCCTGTTGGCCTTTCCTTAGATTAAGTTTTCTTCATCTCAAAGCAGCATCAGCTACTAAAACATCTGCCAAACCTTCAAGTCCCAAACTAGGTCTGCTGAGAGCAGAAACGAAGAGAAATGCTGCTGAACACCTCACAATTGCTGCTATTTTTTTGAAAGCAGCATCCCACAAAGTCCAGTCTGCTCAGTGATGTGATGCTAGAACCCAAACAAGTTTTTGAATACAGCTGTAATCCACCAAGAAAGAAGTGGCTCCTTCAGACTTGGAATTCAGTCTCCCCAGAAGACCACTGGTGTACAGCATCTAGGCACAAGGGGCTCAAATATTATGCATGAATACCCAAACAACAACTTATGGATAAAAGAAGCAAAACAGTAAAGTGACAACACTTTGCTTTTACTATTAGCAGCAGCTTGCTAGGAGAGGACAACACAGGAACTCAGCTCCTTGCAGGTTACAGAAGGAATGAGAAGTCAACAGTTCATCAACTGTTAAGAAGGGGTAATTAATGCTAGGAAAGGCTGCTGGGGAAGCAAATGGGATTTTGCAAGGAAATAGACCAGAGCCTAAGAGGTAGCAGAAAAAAGAGAGAAAAAAGTGGAAGAAGAGCAAGACAATAGTTATCGATCTTCCGTGCTCAGCTGGCCTGCTTTGACAATATGAAGCAGCTCAGCGGCCAACTTAACTAGCTACTTGGGGTTCTGTGAAGCATGAAAATTGGATGACTTGCAGGCTTGCTCAGCTGCATCCTGTACTACCCCAGTAGACAGACACAGCTAGAAATAAGTTTCATTTCAGCACTGCACTGCTAGGACCCCAGCCTGTAGGTAACACATCCATCATCACTACTTTAAAGCAACCCCCAAGGTCACACTGAGGCTATGCAGGAAAGCAGATCCACAGAAGGCAACCTAGGATCAGAGCCCCAACTCTGTGGCCTGTCACTTCAGACAAGCATATTCTGTAACTGAAGGCTATACTAGGCTGACCAAACAGCAGAAGAAAGCAGCAACTGAGTAAGAAGAGACGCATACATCAGAAAGCAATGCAGAAATGAAAGAAAAATTTGGAAAAGGAAAGAAAAGACAGCAAGGAGAGATCAAGTTTTATTTTTTTAATTCTATCAGATGTATGCACACTCTCTATGCCCCATATTCTCAAGGAAATTAATCTTACTTAAGTGTGCTGAAAGCCCCAACCCCGCTTGTGGGGGTTTTTTGTTTGTTTGAGAACACCAATATATTTCAGGCAACTCCGCATTCCAAATATGCACTGGAAAACAGTAAATTACAATAGGGGCAAAATATGTAAGAAAAACTTATCCAGAAACTCAGCATCTAGTTCCTGGCTTTATGTAGATTTATGTAGATTAGGATAATCAGAATAAAAGTTCTTATCAACAGATATATCATAACTTTCACACTTTGTAATGGGTTATGTTTAAGGATCCAAAAACCGTTTAGTTTTGATTTCCCTGTGTCCTTCGCATATTAGACATCACACATATTAAATGATAAATATTTATGAGAATGAAAAGCAGCTGAGGGACAGTTTAAGCAATCTTCAGTTTTACACATGGTAACTAAAAGTGCTACATTAAAATAAACAAACAAATAAGAAAACAGAACCATCACCACCTATGTCAAGAAGAAAAGCAGAGCTACTCTGATGACATGAACAATTCATCACTAACCTTTAGCTTTGTCCACTTTACATTTCTGTTCATTTGATATCCCCACTGATACAAGACTTCAACAAAAAAAGTTGTAAATGCTTACTACCTACCTGCAAGCTGAGCTGTTACAGCTTGGAAAGGTAGTTTTCTAAACGTATCCACAAGTGGCTGTACTTTCTCCATGCTGACAAACTCATGTTTACCATAGTCCAGCTCATACACTGACAAAAACCCATTTCTAAGAATTCCTTTTATTATGACCCTGTACCACCTAAAAAGGGGGAGAACAAGAATAGACAATTTTAATTCATATCCACACACTGGCAAGGCAGCAGAAAAATAATACATGACCAAAAGATCTTAACCAACGTGTCTCAGGCTTCCCAGATCTGGTGTTATCTGAACAGAAGTCAACCCTTCCAACTACAATCTGGAAGCATGAAGAGACTGCAACCTCATTTACTCTCTTCATCTCTCAGATACCATTGGACATCTGCCACCTTGTTAACAATGCAGACAAAGCAGAGCTAGGCTTGCCTAGCTTAGCAGAGCTAAGCTTGCCTTCAAAGATTTTAAGTATCTACTTACTGATTTTCAATTTTAGCTGCATACAGCTTGTTTTTTTCAATGTTCACAGGTTTCTCTTCTGCCCTGCTGTAGTACAAGATCATTTCTTCCATTAGGGCTTCCAGATTATGTAGCTCTTTCCAAGGCTGGACAATAAAGTGACCTGGATGGCAGGCCACCGAGACATAGACATCCATGAGCTCACCAGTCTTTGACAAGGGTAGAGGTGGAGGCATATCAGTGGTAGACACTGCACTGCTGGGTTCTCTGGCTGAATCAGAGAAATTCTTCTCTAGCCTTCCACTAGTTAACCGTAGAGCTGAAACAGCATCACTTGTCACTTTTGCGGAGCTAGTCCCACTGGGTGTAACACTCAAGAAAACATCTTTCTGATGCTTCCACAAGTCTGCATTTTTGATCTGTCGATTGACGCTATGATCCATGTCTGGGAAATTCTCTGGAGCAAACAAGTAAACGTGTGCAATTCCCTTTGAACCATCCTGTTTAACTACCTTGGAAAACAAAATACAGTTTAACTTCAGTTAATAACTATTAAATGCACTATCTGATTTTGCACAGAAGACTAAAGCCTTTAACAGAAGAGCGGCAACAATTCATTACATTCTATATGCACAGAAGTATTTTCAAGGTTCTCTCAAATATGTTAATGAAGTTGTTGGATAGTAAGCAACTCACAGCAGAGCATTAGCAGCTATTCCACTACTGTAAAGCAAATACAAAGCTTGAATTAAGTTTTGCTCTGCCCAACAGGTTCAATCTCAGTACCGTGTGTACAATTCTAATTTTCAGGAGAACAGTAGCCAGTGTCCATACAGGTCTAAACAACTAAATAATGCTTTTAAATGTTAGCACTTAATCCTTCAAAATTGTGTCCCTGTCATTATGGGAGATGAAGCCTAGTAAATTAAGGATGGAAAAAAAATAAAGCTGAAAAAGGCTTCCAGATTTTATCACGCAAAATTTTCAAGCACCGACATAAAAATATTTCCTATTTAACATCAGATGTGCTAGCATTAGTGATAGTAAAGCACTGAAATTTTAATTTGACAAAGTAAATAACATTTCTTTACAGATTCTTCTGTTGATTTTCCTAGCCAGGAATAAAAACTTTCCACAATTAAAGCATAGATCTGTCATCTATTATTTAATCAAGCAAAAATTAGCACCAAACTCAAACTATCTTGGAAGAGGATGTTTAGAAAAGCCAGATGCAAAAGTCCCAGACTAGAGGAGCTATGTTTTAACTATAGAGTCTCCAGTGTTAAAGCAAGCAAAAAGGTAAAGGAAAGCTACAAAACACTTTTTCAAAGTGCTGTGACAGTATCTGGAGTCAGATTTTTAAGAGGAAATTAGCTTTGTCTGTAGCTAGTAATACATTTCCTTTAGAAGGGTGTTTTCAGTTAATTAAACTGGATAGGATACATTGCAAGTGGAAATAATTTTATCTCAAAGATAACAGAAATCCTAAATATACAATAGCATATACTAAATTGCACTGGATTAGAAAAAGCAAACAAAAAATAAAGCTGCTTTCCAAGATCAGAAGGAGAAAAAGCTATGCTCACAAGAGGCATAAAAATAATTTAAGATTAACTCAACAGTTGTATCTTTTTATGTGGTGAAACATTAACAACTGTGTTTCTTTCTTATTAGCTGGTAAAATAACTCTAGCTGCATATTTGGACTGGTACAGTAAAATGTGAAAGGCTAATGTGAAAGTCGCTAAACTCTTGAGGGGAAAAGAGAAGCTTCTAACAGGCTTAAGCAAGTAAGTTTTATGCCAAATGTCCTAAGAAAAGGACCTTGTATAGAATTTATGTCCAAGAGCTGGCTACAAACGTTTAAACTTCTATTTAAAAAATCAATTTGATGAGTGGTTAAGCTTCTAGAGTTGTTCTTTCAATGCTCTTTCCACACGCCTATGGATTTCAAGTTACATAGGCATTTTGACTATTTACCTTCATGCTAAATTCAGGACAATTCATTACAGTGTCTCTCAGCCACAGAACAGCATCTGGAGTCCACATACCAGTGTTAGGAGGCAGATCTGCTAGGCAGCATTTTATAGCCTAAGAACAGAATTACGTATACAAGGTATAATTTAGTAATATGGAAACTAGTCCACAGGTTCCTATTCACAGAAACTTCATTAATGCTGACATATTCAATAATGTATGACAAACAGAAAGAGACAGAGGAACATGCAAAACCAGTACCATTACACATACACAACATCCTGTCGATACATAGGACTGCATTATGATTAATTTCAGGCAAAGATGCACAATGAAATACACTCCAATGTTGAATGCTATTAAATAAAATAAAATTTCATTACATAAACCTTGAAGTAGCAGCACTACAAACCTGCCAAGAGATCTAGCATAGGTTAGCTTTAACATGTCTTTATACCTGAGGAGGTATTGCAATTACTTCTCTCAGGAATTGTGGTGGGATTTCTCTAAGCTCTGATACTTTTACAGTTGCAACTGTTCCAGTATCTGTGAACTGCACATCAAGAGCCCGTCTAGTGTGAATAATTCTTATCTGAAAGAAGAAAGCAAGAGCATCATTTTGAGTTTAAAAACACAACAGTGACACACACACTATAATAAGTTTCACAGAAACTAAGGCTTCAGATTTAGCTGAACAAAAAGAAGAGCCATTCCTATGTGGCAAAACTGTAGCTGTTCTTTGAACACTTCTTACCTCTACACGCGCCCATTTTCCTTTGGAAGGAAACAAGCAGATTTTGCCACAGAAAGGTAACGATACATTAAACTCAGATGTCTGCTGCAAATATAAAAACAAAAGTTAAAAAGCATGAAGCTATTGCTATCTGGCATTCAGCTAACCATTTCAAAAGCCACACATGGAATAAACAGTTCTGAGAAGCAAAAACTCTGTTTCAAATATGAAGTGTCTTTCCAGCCTCAGAAGCATTTCTTATCACACTGTTTTAAGCTTTGCCAATTGGTAAAGCTTTAATTCCAAGCTGTGTATCTTACAGGGAAACAGAGAGAATATAAAGTGCCAGAGGAAAAAAGCCACATTTGGAAACACCGAATATGAAATCACCAATCATTACTTTAATGTTCTCAAAAGTAAGACCAGTTTAGAGCTGTGACAGACCACTGGAGAAGCTCCCACCTTATATTCTGGAATGCATCATTTGTTGAGATATTTAACAAACCAAATTTACTACTGACTCAAATGAAAGTCTCATGGGGGTGACATTCACCATGATGATCCTAAATAACATAACAAGACAATGGCTACACTGCAGCATGAAGAAACTCCATTTGAAGACCCATCAACACCTTAGTTTGTTTAAATTCTCAGGCAAAATAAAAACCCTCAAGATAAGCTGCAAAGTCAAGATTGCTTCTTTTACCCCCATAAACAGATTGATATTAAAAGATTCTGAATGTCAAGGACTCTCTTTGATAAGCAACAAGAACCCAACATACACTCTGTCCAGAAAATCTGAACTTTCGAAATACCTGTCTGGCTGGCCTGCCTTGGTGTTGCTAAACCTTTCAGGGTTCTACACGCTTTCCTTCAGTGTTTAGCTTGCTTCAAACTGAATTTTGGTAACTGAGACATGTTCAATATAAAGTATTTCCAGATGGTGTGTGTTCCACAACAGGTCTAAAGCTCAACTTCTACACCTAAAAACACTTTGACAGAGTAGTTTCACAAGCAGCAGTTCTAACAGGACCTTCAAGGATCTTCATTTCGTGGTTTGATTCTCTAAGGCTCAGTTGAATGTTGAACAAATTAGATTCTCTTAAGATTTCTTCTCTTTTGTATAAATTCTCTTAAGTCTAGTAAAGGTTGTTGCATGTGTCTGTAAATGGCCGGTGAAATGTCTGCCAGACTTCTCTGCCACATGCCTATTTTAAAGCAACTTAAGACTTTTGAAAACGCCTCCTATACATCAGTTCTAGTTGAAATTACCCACAACGTTCAAGAGCTAAGGGTACAAGGACAAGATATGCAGCAGATCAGATCAAAGCCATTGAATCTCTAAGGAAGCCAGGCTAAAAAGAACAGACCTTGGTTACACTGCTTTTATTGTCACTTTGCAGGGTGTGTTGTGGGCCAGGCTTTTTATGCACCTCAACTCCATCATGTAAGTAAAACTTCCAGAAAAAAAATACGGCAGCATCTGCATAGGCTTTATACCAATCTGATGCAGTTTCCATTAGAAGCTTCCCATTATGAGCCATATTGTTACTGTTACAACTATTCAAGGAAAGTTATAGTTATTGAAGCCTTAGACAGCTTGTGAACAAGAAAGCATCAAAAGACACTTTTCACGCTGAAGGATGCACCCCAAAAAACTAGGAAGAGAATTTATAGCCTTTTTGAATAGTCTATGGCTACCTCAGATACTTGAGCTTGTGTGCAAGGAAAATGATTGGTACGCTCTGAAGAAAGGCTACATGACTTCACCACTTCTTTCACTATAGAACCTACCTTGTAATGGAAGTAGTCTTCTAGTTTCTGCAAGACTTCAGAAAGTTTAGACAAGCCTTTAGATGGCACTTGGCAATACAGGCTTCCATCAGAGAAAACACTGGTTACTCTGACATTTGTATATAGTGCATCTACCTGGAACAGTAAGATTTTGACAAGAAAAGGGGGAAAAACTTAGCAAATTTCTGAGTACTGTTTTTTGTCCATTCAAGACCTTAGCAGCCAATAATTTTTAATGAATTAAGAAGGAAACAGGAAAATGGTACCTGTAGGTGCAGTTCAAGGGACTTGTCATACAACGCCTTCAGACAAGTAGCATTGATGTTGATATCGTCTTCTCCGGAAGTGTCATAAAGAACAAGAAGAGGAACATCACTCTTTTCCAGTATTTCCACAGCAAATATCTTGGAGCATGTCTGCGATTCCACAGTCTTTACTAGGACAGGATCATCACAGAAGACTTCCAGTCCTGTAAGACACACATATTTTTATGTATCACTGTATTCAAAGGGAAAAATAATAACCAGGTCTGTGTTCTCAACAGGAATCTTTCCAAGAATCAGAGTGTAGCAGGAAAGTTGTACTGCACCCCTACTTGCATTCTGCTTAATTTCCACCTTTTTAACATAGAAAGGCATCTTTGGGGCAGAGGGAGGGGAGAAAAAGATCCTCTTCAGAAAGAGTCGAGGCAAATGCATAGAGAAAAAAGGAACACATCCAAATATTAAACAAATAAACAAACAAAAAGCTCATTCATGGCAATTTTATATATTTAAAGTAAAATATTTTTTTAAATGTTAGAAATGCCCACCGGTTTTAGGAAGGTAAATAATTTCCAGTCTAGGAAGTCTGCAAGTATGCAAATACTGAAAAGGGAAGGATCACTTTAGGATCATATTTAGGAGTATTGCCGGACCTGGCCACAAAAGATGTGCCTCATTTGTGGAAAAGGAGTTGTCCTAGTACATTGCTTCACACAACAGCAAGCGTTTCCTTGTATTTCTTTAGGCTCGCATATATTAAAGGGACAAAAACATCCAAGCTAAGTGCAGAAACAACTAAGCTCTATTACGAGATACTGGATATCAAGGTCTTCTAATATCAAGGTTTCTTTATAAAACTCTCCTTCACATCCTTCCTTTCTTCCTTCTCCTTCTTTCCATGCCTACCGGTGTCTGCTTAGACTAGCTGTCTTGGACAAAATCTAACATACATAGAGTTATTACAAACAAGGATCAAAACTCACAGACTGAGATGCTTCAATCCATAAATCGTGCAACAGCAAGCTGTATAATCAACACCTTCTCTTACCTGCTAGTTTACATTTTGCAGCTTGAAATGGAAGCGAATTGAACTGTTTCTGTAGTTTGTACACACTGTTGCTTTCAACAAACTCACTGAAGCCATGATCAACATAGCATACCTGACAATGGAAAAGGGAATAAAAGCGTAAGATCATTAATATAATTGTAAATATGTTTTCCCTATGTCTAGGGAAAAGTATTCAGTTATCACATTCTCTATGCAGTCAGAGACAATCACTTTTCGTTAATTTAATACTATATAATGCCATTAATCTCATGTTTATTTCATTGCTTGAATGTTCAGAGTTTTTAGGGAAAGCTGCCTTCTCAAGATCTCTGTAAAACCATCCTCTCCAACTGTTCCACAGAATCTCAACCCTTAATAGAAACAGTGCTGGAAGGACTCAAACCACATGAAGAAAGGTAATAAAGCGGCAATTTTTATTTGTAAAGTTTTGAAAGTGTTGAAAAATCAAATACCACTTAAATGCCATTCTATGTTTTGCCTTTTGTTTTTACAACATTAAGAGAATCATTTTGATTTATGCTTATAGTAACTTTGATACAAATACAACAGTCAATGCAGGAAACCAGTCGGGAAACTGCTGATAGGTAGCAAATGACTGGAGCTAAAGTGAGAGAAAGAAGGCTTTGACAGGGCTTTTTACAACTTTTTTCTAAACTCTATCATGCAAAATGTCTGCATACCAAACATTGAAAAGGTACTCTGAACACTGTGTCAGAGGATAATCAGCAAATAAAGCAGTAGCCTTCTTTTGGCTGATAGCTCTAGCTAGAGAGAAATTAGAGGCAAGCGTGCTACCAATGTCCTCTCTAAACCCAACAGTCTTTCACCGATTTCTGACACCCCCCTCTAAGTTGCAGCTGAAGGGTATCACACTAACTTTCAGAAAAACCTCAATTCTAATATATGTGCTATTTAAGTATTTATAAAATGGATCAACCTGAGAAGTATGTTAAGCACACCTGGGAAAACAGTCACCTAACTGGGGGAAGAAAAAAAAATAAAAAGGTATCATTAATGTTTGACTAGGCAAGAAATAATTGAGAAGTTTGAAACTTGTTTTACAGTTTTATCATATGTTCTAGTTTCATTGCAGATGGCAAGAAGAGTCTGCTTGGCCCAGGAAAAGTTTAACAGAGGAGTTAAATAACCTCAAAGGGGTTTAACTAAAATGCACACTACATATAACTCACAGAATACCAGATCTGCCTGGAAGGGAACACAAGTATATCCTTCTCATTGTCTTGCCATTTAGTGCATGTAATAAGATACTTCAGTACAAGACTTCAAACAAGATCTATCAACAAGTGAACTTTGTTCTTCCCTTTCCCTTCCTTTGTCCCACTCCAAATAGTGCTACTACAGCCATTCCTCCTGAGATTATCAAAGGTACATTTTCAGTACAAAAGCACTATAGGGCCCAGCCCCATATAAAACCCAAAACAAAACCCCAAAACTCAAACTATTTATGGAAAAAAAACACCTTAAAGACCATTTAATTTTGGTAATCACATAACTTCAAAAAAGTCTTAATTCCTCATATAACTGAAAATAGAAGTACTTCAGGGCAAGAAAGGAGAGAATGCTAGTGCAGCATATTTAGGAATTGACTGTGTATCTAAAAAACAAGATTGTTTCAAGTCTTTCTCCAAGTGCCAAAAAAAGTAATTGCTTGCCTTTATTCTGTTGTCTTCTAGAGAAATTATCCGAGCACGCAACCAGGCATCTTCTTCAGCGTGTACTGCAACAAGTTGCCCAACGCTCAGAGATTGAGCTAGTGACACTGTACTATTCTGACTGTAGTATGCTTTCATGTCATCTTCCATTTGTTCCTGGGCGCAAGAATAATCTTTGCCCACATACCTACAGTATTTTACCAAAAAAGCACCACAAGAGTTAGGATGCAACTTCAAAAAACTGAATAAAAACCTAAGAACATTTATATGCATATATGAATATGAATAAATCATGGATATATACACATCTAAGCACATCAGTATCCAAACTTTTTTCCATGAACAAGGCTATAGAAAAGTAAGTGACATAAAATTTAGTAGTTTTGTTGACAGCTAAATGGGGTCCAGCAGTGTATAATCTAACATGCTTAACTGGATTTTTAATAAGAGCTGTTACTTGATTATTACAATCATGTAGAGCAACTTGACCACAAGAACAGAGTAGTATCTGGGACCAAGTATAAAAGAGAACTAATACGTCATCTCTGAAGTTACTCTGTCATTAACAAACACCAGTTTAATCATGTTTTCACTAGAGTTGATCAAAAACAAGGCATCTAAAATAATAATAATCAGCTGTCAAACCATGTGCTGTTCACTCTCAGCCTTCAGAACAATCCTGATATTAGGCTGCTGACGTAATGGCTCATACTGAAGCAGTTTGTGTTGCATAGATCTTCTTTAATAAAGTATATAAACTTTACTAAAAACTCCAAAAGGGAAGTTCTGAATGCTTCAGAAACAAGTCAGATTAGAGCAGGCGTAACTTGTTCATAGAGTGATTAATACTGCTCATTTCTACCACACAGTTTAATTATCATCCTACAAAAATCTAAATTTATTCTGAAAGTCTGCTATATGCCCAGGATTAGTGCAGATACTGTACAATGACATCCTATGCTAACTTTGTTATAAAGATTAAGTTAAATGTGATCACATTCCAGGGAACCCTCATTTTCCTAAAGACAGCCTACTACCTCACCATCCAATTATATATTGTTTTTCAGAATGACAGACCTTTTGTTTCTATGTAAGCACTCACCTACTTCACAATGGACATGAAGTGGGGCAACAGTCACAGATGTGTTACTTAAAAGTTTATTTCTTAACATTTGTTTCATAAAGATACTTACAGACAGTAGGAATATCTTAACAGAAAGCAGAAGAATCAGAATTTCCTGCCTCACTCACTATTTTCTGGTAATAGGTAAGCATCATACTGAAGAAGTTTTTGGATGCTCAAAGCCAATTGAAAAATTATTTTTCAGATTCTTTCGAAAAACAGCTTGGAAAGCAACTTCAAAAAAGTGTGGTAGAGACTAATCTATGTGCAGGTGGCCAGACACTGCAAGTGTGCATTCAGCACCATTCTTAGTCTCAACTGGAACCAATTCACATGTCAAGTAAAGCTTGCTGCTTCATTGTGAAAGGAACAGAGGGGTATGCTTCCATAGTGAAACAAGCTATAAAATTTTGTCTATTCAAAAAGATAAAAGAAGAGGAAAAAAAGTATCTGAGCTGTAGCACAGAAACTCGAGGTAGTTGAAAATAAAAGGTGATAGCTAATTATTTCTTGTGAGAATTCAAATGTAGCACCTAGCATATCATCTCTGCCTTCGATCACAGTTATAGATGTATAGCAAATATCTAAGAGTGTTTCTATCACCTCACTTTCATTCTGACATCAGAATTCTTACAGAATTGTACCACGTCTCAAAATTGAAAGAGCACCAAACCTTCCAGTTTTGTCTTACTCGTACGGCAGTTGAAAGGTTTCAGCCAAGCAACAACTAGCCACATACCAAGAAAGTAAAGAGATATTGCTCCATCCCTAAGACAGAAAGAGGAATCTTGATTTCATTGATCCTGCAAAAATCCACATCAACCAATAGCCGCTACACAGTTCTTGTGTAGATCAGGAGAAAGTGACTGCTAGTACATGCACGGCAAAGGTGAGTCTATGCATTGTTCCCTTCCTATATGTCTACATGAACATTTTCTTGTCATGGCAAAAAACTATTCCCTTCAGGGCTAATTTCATCATGAAGATAAATGACCTTGCTCATGAAGTACACACATAACCCTAAGTAGTCATTTCTGTACCTAGGGCCAAGAAACCACTAATTACCACCATGTACCTACACAGAGCTGACAAATTCAGAAATTTTAATATTGTCCAAGAAACATGGTCCAAAATTTGGGAACTGCTGCTTTAGAGAAGTTTTGCAGAGTTAAGTCCCACCTGCATCGCAAGCTGGAAGTAAGAGACCAATATTTTTTTCCTGCTCTTCCCAATATAAAACATGTAATATGCATCGTGTCTAACTGTTTCAGCATCTCTATGTACAGATGACTACATGTCTTAAATTGGCTGTCTTTCCTGGCACTATTCATCTCCATCATTTTTCACGTCTTAGACTAAATTCAAACAGAGCTCTCACAGGAACAACCTAAAACATAAAGCCTCTCTTCTCTCTAATGTAGTTTTTCCTCCTGTGATTTCTTAATTTAAGCTCACAAATTCCAGCTGTGTCTTCTTGGCAAGAATCTTGCCTTATATTATGCTTTGTGATAAGACCAGGATACAAAATAAATAGACCAGTATACAAAATAAATGTATAAGCAATGTACAAAAAAAGCTTATCTGAGAAAAAGCACAATATAGGAATGCTGCTAGCAGCTAAACAAAGATGGCAACATTCTCAAATGAGAATTTCTCTCATAACCCCCAAGTATCAGGATTTTCACCACAGATTATCAGCCATTAAGATTCCATGACTTCAGGGAACTGAAATGGTGGACTGACACACAAAGAAAGTTCAAAGTTGAGTATTCCAATTCATTACTTATAGCTAGCTACTTATAGAGAAAAATGGTATCTAAATTTCAGCCTTAAGGCTAGTGTGTTGAATATTGCCAACCAGCAACGAGGAACAGGGTATTAGTTTCACACATACTTATTTCGATCCTTATCAGAACCTCTGAGAATGACTGAAACTATCTAATGAAACCTGAAACCACAGAAGCTAGTGGGAAAAAACAGAGAGCGGTCAATATAGTATATTACCACACAGTTGCTCAATACATGCTTTGAAGTGACATTTAAAACTTTTTAAGATTAGGCTCGATTTGAAGTAATTTTCAAAATGAAATATCCTCTATAAAAAGTGTTTGGGTTTGGTTGGTTGGTTGGTTTTTTTAAGTTTTAAAGAACTGCTAGGATTTGTGTGTTTTATCCAACAATGAAGTATAGAAAGCTTATCATGGTATTTCCTGTAACAGTACAATAACATATATGTAAGATAGCCACTACAATCCACTTCCTACACTGTCCTCTAAGGCTGGACTGATTAGCAACCAAACCAAGACGCACTAGTAGGTTATTGTTAGATGGAAGCTCATCTGTCCCCAAAAGTGAAAACTGCAGTGTAATCTGAACACACTCAAGTCACACCTAGTTAGTAGTAAGTCAGTTACAGAAGTAAAAAAAAAATTTAATAAGTATTGTAGCAGTATAGGAATACTACTATGTGTTATAGTAGCGCTATTTTAAAAAGCCTTCCAATGGGAAGTCAAATCTGCTTTGATTCTCAGACAAGCTAATGATAGAACTGATCAGCTCGGCACAGAAAAAGTTTCAGAAAATTTCCATTTAAGCACACAAACAAAAGGATTCTTAAGTTTCATTATCAAAATAAGTAAATAACAAAGTCCTGCAACGTCCTGTTCATCTGTTCTCTTACAGAGAAGGTCTCTTATTCAGACCTGCACAGTATGAATATGTGGATTTATGAATAAAGCAAAAAAGATAGATTTTGAAGTACAAACTTGCCTAATTAGGACCTCATTAGTGTTTTTCAGTTCTAACACCATGACGGACACAGATCCTTCCGATGGAATGATTAGAGGAGGAACAGTTATGTTCTCTGGATATTGGTCCTTGGATTCTTCATACTGTTGTTCAAATGTGGCCTTCACACCGCCATGCCTCTGGACTTTCTCAGTGACATTCAGATTTTCATCAATGCGTCTTTGGGGTTTAGCATAGAGGATAGCCTTTCTGGGGACTTCAGATACATAGTCCACTATGCATACATCTGAGAGCAACTCTAGATTATTTAGAATGTCTTCTGGAAATTTTACTTGGTAAGCATCTTGGTACAATTTGGGAAGTGCATTAGCCCAAAGACCACTGGAATACTTCAGCAAGATGTTAACAACTTTCTGCTTGAAGTCACTACTAAGTGATGTGGTCTCCACATTTGGTTTTAACAAAGGGTCTACTTTTGAGGAAGTAACATTCTGAGATGCCTTTTCTTGGTCTGTATCACTTTTTGCTGTCGGTGGTATTTTCTTAGCAGGATAAAGAAGCCCATCCATCTGATCACCCCTGTGTACTTTCTCCACCTTGGAAAACAAAAAATAGAGTCAATAATCAGTTGCACCTCTAAGTCTAAATCATTTTGCCAACTACATTTTTATAACATGCATTTTATACAGACTTTGAAGTGGACATCCACAGAGAACTAAGCTTGACGCAGTTACTACAGGGTAGTATTTCTTGTAATACTTCCTCCACCATTTTGAAGGATACCAAATACATATGACAGGGCAAATATCTAATTTATGCAATACAACTCGGACTTGCTTCTGAAGAAGCAGAGTCTCTTTTTTCTTCTAGAAGGACCAGAAGATGATGACACACTCCACAAACTTAGGTCTTTTGTACATTAACCCCTCTGATCTTCCACACAGGTAAGCATATCATAAACAAAAGTTTCTGTCTCGGTTTACTAAGGGAAAGGGGATTTAATTGTATACTTCAGAAACCAGAAGACATCTGTCAGGCAGTGTTGTAAAGGCCACCTGCTGTCACGCTCAGGGAATCATTTTTTCTTTAAAAAAGTTCTGAAATTAAGGAAGACATTTCTGGATCATAATAAATTTCATAATAAATTTGATTAGGCCATTTTAAACCATGCCCACAGTCTCCTTCCAGACCCAGATGTTTTGCCAGTCCATATGTCTCTACCCTTTGCTAAGTTCAGTAATAAGCTTCCCACATGGTCTGAAGTCACAACCTTAAAAGCACCATTTGAGAACTGTAGAAACAAACGCATAATAAAATTCCACTTCCTAAAGCTATGCAGTTTCAACCTAGATCAACCTAACCGTAGCTTAGCAGGGATATCTATGTAGATATGAAAAGCTCTCAGTGTTTTCACATTGGTCCCAAAGCAAGAACAACTCCCGCAATAAAGTAAGTTATTAAGGTTTATGTAGCTCCAACTTGATGTTACTTCCTTAGAGGAAAAAACTCTCATCAGTTTCCTGGGTCCATATCACACCAAAGTCCTTTTCAGAGGCAGATCAATGAACAAAACATTGAGTAGTTGAATTACTTGCTACTACTCAGGGGTAGCATTTACCTTTATGATATTAATGTCCATACCCATCAGAACTTTATGAACCTTGCTAAAGTCATTCTTTGCTGTTCTGTCTTAGCAACGTACAACAGAAGCATAATGAAGAAGACTTCAAGTATTATCTTACATAACACGAATAATACATGTCACTCACTATCAAGATAACATTAACAAGGCAAGAACATTTAGATACAATACATTAAAAAACCTGAAAAAAAGGGCCATTACTTGTCAAGAACCATGTATTTTCTCCTATGTACACCTCTTCACACTCAGCCCAAATTGCCACATGATGATCTGAATTGAGAGAGTCAGCAAAACCACCAAAGGGTTACTACACAAATGCATTTCCATACACTTGCTGTGCATTGCGTTGTCTAGAATGGTGCAAAAGCAAGCTACCAAACAGTTCTTGGGAATAGCTCTTGGTCAACTTCCATGACACTAGCACGCATGCTATCTAAAATTGACACAAAGGAAATAGTTTTCATAGATACAAAAAACCAACCATGTTAGAGAATTCTCATGCATTCATGGTGGCATGTCTCAATCCTTCTTCATCAGTGAAAACCAAAGTAGTAATATTTTATGCAAGATTAAGACATGACAAGGCAAACAAACCTATCTGACAACCCTCAGGTCACCGAATTCATGCGAATGAGTACACAAGCTTTAAGACTCGAGCCTTTCCAAGTAGGCTTACTAAACCAAGGAGACACTCCCTCTTAATTGGGGGGAGGGAAGAAGTAGTGTCCTATAGACATCCATTTACTAAAGAATACGTATCTACTACAGGATAAAATATAAACAAATCATATAAAGGAATTCAATGTACCAGTGGTATATTCACCAAGTTCTTAAGCATCTCTGCTAGTCAGCTTGAAACAAGAGATGACAAAACATGTCTGGCCATGCAACCTAGAAGGACCAAAGATGTCTTCAATGATTCATGACAGGAAGAACCTACGTTTGTACCCTGTGGTTTCAGGAATCTTATTGTGCCTCTTGAACCACAGGCGAAGAAAGGAGCTTGGTTAAAAAAAAAAACAAACAAAAACTTATCAAAGCCTTGCAAGGGCTTTGATATACAGTCAAGAGACCAAAGTATATCGAGTGGCCCAGAGAAAAAATCAGGGCACACCACCTTGGCAGGTAATGACATTCTAGGTACAGAGGAATTGATAAGGATGTCCCAAGTGTCCACGCACAACATTGAGGAATTTGTTCAAATGACCAGCCAAGGAAACTTCTAGCTCCAGAAAATACTTGGTATTATCAGGACAATAGTCTGTTTGAGAAGGCTGTGTTGGAATGTATGGCAGTTCATCCTGAAAGAAGCTTGATGCAGCTTCATGCACCCTTTCTCTTAGCTAGCTCTTTTTAACTAGTGCTGCAAGAGAGATGCGTAAATTTTAGCTGACATGACTATTAAACCTTACACACTAAAGACTGGCAGCAGACTAAAGAGGGAAGATCCTTAGAGACCTTTAAGCCTCTTAACTCCAATAATAGCTCTGAGGTTTTCTAGGCATTGAAGCTCTGTTTTGAAGAGACTGTAGATGCTGCCTGAGCAAACCATTTAGAGACAGAAAAATGCTATTTCAGTAAGTTGTTTCAGCTTACTTCAGCATAAATAAGCTCAGGTGGACATCATTAGGCTACTATTTCTTGCATAGAAGTTAATGTTCAAGGTGCAACAGAATCCTCCAGACAGTGCTATGGTCAAGACACCTTCAAGGATGCACAACACTACAGAAACTTTTAATTATAAGCAAACAGCTTCAGTTGTGAGCAGCACTTCAAAACAGCCAGCCTTTCCTTAGTACAAATACCTCAACTTCGTTTCCAGTTGAGTTTATAGATTTGCCTGCAAGGTACTTCCCATTAGTATGGCTGGCAGGCCTGCTTTGCAAGCACAACATGCATGCTGTCACCTCTCCATTAGAGAGCACAAAGCAGAGTCAACAGCTGTCAGAATGTATTCTCAGGGCAACAGAGACTGAAGTCATTCTACACAGAAGAAAAACATGTTTGTCCTCAGCCTGAGTAACTCCCTCCTAAGAGGGAGCTCTTAAAAATTAAAGTCTGAAGCCCAAAATAATAAAGCTTCAAATAAAAAAAAACTCCCAAGATAAATACTGACACTGCAACCAAGTCAAGTACAATGCAAAAGAAGAGCAAGCCTACTCCTTTTGACACACACAGATAGAAGGCAGACATGCTCCTGTATGTGTTGCTAGGACAAAAGCTTTGTATATGTGTGCTTGACAATGTGCAAGTAAACCACTACGCTAATATATATAATCAAAAGAAAGGATTCACTTTGCGATGCCAGAATGACCAAGATAACACCGAGTCTTGTTTAATTGTGTGTACAGTGATGATCAAAGAGCAAATAAACTGGCAAACTCCTAGAGCATCCATACCTTCCAGGAAGAAAGTGGAGAAAATATCTCCTTGAAATTAGAGTTTCTAGTCAGAGAAAGTGTCCTTCACTTTCAAGGTTACATTCACAACTAGCATATGCAGCTATTTTCTGCCATTCTTCTGCAAGGTGGGGAAAGGAAACGTATAGTGGAAGCTGGCATTTAATGTCAGTGACAGAGCCTCATCATATGTGGCAAAGAGGAAAAGTCTGGCTCCATGATTCTTGGTATCAAACAGGTCCTGAAAGACTACTCTAAAACACACGGAGCAGAACTATCACTCTGACTCAGTAAGAATAATTAATCAGAAGTGTGATGCATGAATTCCTTCAAATCTGATTTAAATATCCAACCCAGAAGCTAGCTACCACGGTATACATATCATAGAATACCTACGGACACATTTTCCTGACAGACAACTTGGACAAATGCTTCAGTGTGAAGGCAGCTCTCATATACCTTAATGTCTTCAATCGTACATGAAGTTCAACTCCCAGCAAGCTGGAGCGCAAAGCAGTGAGTAAGATATTCCCGGCCTTCATCAGCAGTACCTTGCATCCATACATTTGGCTGACAGCGTCTTTTCTCTGTCAGAGGCAGCCACTATAACTTCAGGTCCCACTGTTTTTTGCCAATCATTCTACAGTACAGCTCTCCCCAGGCAATGGTGAGATGCTGCTTCAACATCAACGCTCCTCTCCTCCTTGCTCTTCCAAATAGCTGCCTCTGAAAGCAACAGAATTTAAGCTACCAAGCTGTTGAATATGCATGCAAAGTAACCAATTCTGGGGAAAAAACCCAGACTTGCGCAATGTTCTTGAAAGGCTGAAGATCCCCACTGCACAGGGTGGCATCGGACACAGTAAAGAGCTTTTCCTTACAAGGCTGTGGAAGCCCCCTACGTCATCCGGTTACAGCTTATCCTGGGGATCCACTCCAGCTTTTACAGCTTCTAGTCCAATATGCAATCAATTGTTTTGCATGGGAAGCTACAATACCTAACTTCTTACCCTAACTGCCAAAAGGACACATTAAAAGGCTTGTCTTCAGCCAAACCTCATGTCAAGTGGGAAGCTGGAACAGGACAGGAACAAGACTGAAATATGTTGCCCAGAAAGGCTGTAGATTGCCCGTTGTTAAAACATGACCAGATACAGCCCTGGGCAAACTGTTCATGGTGACCCTGCTTGAGCAGGTTGCATTAGATAATCTCAAGAGGTCCCTTCCAATCTCATTGATTCCGCGATTCCGCAAAATGTTTATGCAATGTTAGAATTGGCTCAGTTCTTTTGAATTTCAATTGAATTTCAGTTATCAGGATGTAAGAACTACCTTCAAAAATTGCAGGCCTCTTACAATACTAGTGAAGGCAAAATAATTTTGAAAGGTTTTTGATTTAATAGCCTTTTCGGTCACTAACCCTGAGAGGTATGTCAGTTTCATTAAGAGGGCCCAGAAAAGATCAGTTATGATATTCAGACAGGCAATGACAACAATAAATTTTGGTGGATTCTTCATATACAAAGAAGATACTTTCAGCCCTTCAACTGAAGTG